CTGGTGGCTGAAATGGTGCCTCGTTCAGCAGATGTGGGCTATCTGGTGACTAAAGTGGTGGCTGTTGATGTGGACTCTGGACAGAATGCCTGGCTCTCCTATAAACTGCAGAAAGCCACAGACAGGGCGCTGTTTGAAGTGGGCTTACAGAATGGAGAAATAAGAACTATCCGCCAAGTCACTGATAAAGATGCAGTGAAACAAAGACTGACTGTTATAGTGGAGGACAACGGGCAGCCCTCTCGTTCAGCTACAGTCATTGTTAACGTGGCGGTGGCAGACAGCTTCCCTGAAGTGCTGTCGGAGTTCACTGACTTTACACACAACAAGGAGTACAATGACAACCTGACTTTTTACTTAGTCTTGGCTCTGGCTGTAGTTTCCTTCCTCTTCATCACGTGTTTAGTGGTTATTATATCAGTGAAAATCTACAGATGGAGACAGTCTCGCATCCTGTATCACTCCAATCTCCCTGTGATTCCATATTATCCACCACGTTACTCAGACACTTTGGGAACAGGGACTCTGCAACACGTGTACAATTACGAGGTGTGCAGGACGACTGACTCCAGGAAGAGTGACTGTAAGTTCGGCAGAGCTGGTAGTCAGAACGTGCTGATAATGGACCCCAGTTCTACAGGGACGATGCAGCGGATACAGAATGAAAAGAGCATCCTGGATGAACCAGACTCTCCTTTAGAGGTTGGAAAGATGTTACATCACACATGCTTTGCCGCATTACTTGTCATTATCCCACTGTTACAGCATTTTGATTAATTCATTTAGTAATTTTTCAGCACCTTGGAGTGCATTATGGAGGATTTATACATTCATGTTACTCCAAGTGACAGCAAATGGGCAGTTTTTACCCCCTTCCATTGTATATTATTGAGTTTTGTAAAAATATTTTTTCCACACATTTTAATTATATTCTGAAAAAAAATAACTAGGGCTTCATGCTACAACAATTTAATCCCCGCATTCATAAATTATTCCTCATCTTTTTGTACCTGTCCCTTCTCACAACATAGATTATTTATCTGCAGTTTTGCTTTGTGAACTCATTGGGCCGCTGTTGCCTAGTCTGTTGTAGTTGTAGTATATTTACAGCAGTACCGCCTTTCCTTTTCGATGTATTAGAGAGAAAGGGCAGGCGCAGACCGCATTGTCTTCCGTAAAGTGGCCGATATACACGACGAGGCACAACTGTCTTTATTTCTCTTATAATTTGAGGACTACTTTTGCCCCTTTTTTTGTTTTACTGCCTTTGCCATCTTTCTAGCGGATTTTACGAGGTTGCTTTTCCTTCTTGCCTTGACAATTCCAAACAATGAGACGGCAAGTACTGTTGTTTATTTCGATCGTTTGTCTTCGGTCGGTATTTGGACAGGTCAGTTACTCTATTCCGGAGGAAATGGCTAAAGGCTCTTTGGTCGGTAATATAGCTCAGGATTTAGGTTTAGACGTTAAACGACTGAAGTTGGGCAACGCTCATGTTTATTCTGGCGATAGCAGAGAATACATCGAGCTGAACAGCGAAAGAGGAGTCCTCCTTATCAAAGAGAGAATAGACAGAGAGGCGTTTTGCGGTGATACAACACCATGCGCTGTGCATTTTCAGATTGTGTTGGAGAATCCCATGGAATTTTATAGTGTTACAGTTGAAATTATAGACATAAATGACAATGCACCATCTTTCGAAAAGAGCGAAATTAACTTCAAAATTAGCGAATCTGCGGTGGTGGGGGCAAAATTTGTTTTAGAACGAGCAGTGGATTCGGATGTAGGTACAGATAGTCTTCAAAGCTACATACTCAAACCAACTGATAATTTTTTACTTAAACTGCACAGCCAAGCGGATGGTACGAAAAATGTTGAAATGATTTTACAAAAACCCCTGGACAGAGAGAAAAATTAGTTCATTTCTTTGGTGTTAACAGCTGTAGATGGAGGAGAGCCACAGATGTCAGGAACAATGCAGATTCTCATCACGGTGTTAGATGTCAATGATAATGCTCCTGTTTTTACACAGCAGATATACAAAGGTACAGTGGCTGAAAATTCTGCAAAAGGTACGATTGTGAGTACTGTCAGTGCTTCAGATGTTGATCATGGTCTAAACGGTAAAATAACTTATTCAATCACAAACACTTTAGATGACGTTAGACATGTATTTGAAGTAAATGAGGAAAATGGTGAGGTGAGGTTGATTGGTCGTTTGGATTATGAAAAGAAAAGACATTTTCAGATAAATGTGCGCGCCATGGATAATGGAGGATTGACGGATTCTTGTAAAGTGATCGTTGATGTGGTTGATATAAATGACAACGAACCAACGATTAAAATCATGTCTAAATCAGCTATTATATCAGAGAATGCAAACGCCAACACAGTCGTTACAATGATTAACATTCAAGACCCAGACTCGGGTGAAAATGGTAAAGTTCAGTGTTTTATAAACGATAATATTCCGTTCTTACTGAAATCGACATCAAATAATTTCTATAGTTTAGTGACAGACAGTGATTTAGACAGAGAGAGAGCCTCTGCGTATAATATAACAGTGACCTGCTCTGATGAGGGAGTCCCCTCCCTCTCCAGCAGCGTCACTCTCACCTTACAGATCTCTGATGTGAATGACAACGCGCCTGTCTTTGAGAGGAGCTCATATGAGGCCTACATTGTAGAAAACAACACACCAGGCCTCTCTATATTCACTTTGAAAGCCAGAGACGCTGACTGGAACCAGAATGCCCGTGTTTCCTACATACTGGAGGATTCCTCTGTTAACGGCGTGCCAGTCTCCTCATATGTGTCCGTTAGTGCTGATAGTGGAGTCATCCATGCAGTGCGCTCTTTTGACTACGAGCAGATCAAAGATTTCCACTTCCGCGTGAAAGCGCAGGATGGAGGCTCTCCTCCACTCAGTAGCAATGTGACTGTGAAAATACTGATCCAGGACCAGAATGACAACCATCCTCAGGTTCTGTACCCAGTCCAGACTAGTGGCTCTCTGGTGGCTGAAATGGTGCCTCGTTCAGCAGATGTGGGCTATCTGGTGACTAAAGTGGTGGCTGTTGATGTGGACTCTGGACAGAATGCCTGGCTCTCCTATAAACTGCAGAAAGCCACAGACAGGGCGCTGTTTGAAGTGGGCTTACAGAATGGAGAAATAAGAACTATCCGCCAAGTCACTGATAAAGATGCAGTGAAACAAAGACTGACTGTTATAGTGGAGGACAACGGGCAGCCCTCTCGTTCAGCTACAGTCATTGTTAACGTGGCGGTGGCGGACAGCTTCCCTGAAGTGCTGTCAGAGTTCACTGACTTTACACACGACAAGGAGTACAATGACAACCTGACTTTTTACTTAGTGTTGGCTCTGGCTGTAGTTTCCTTCCTCTTCATCACGTGTTTAGTGGTTATTATATCAGTGAAAATCTACAGATGGAGACAGTCTCGCATCCTGTATCACTCCAATCTCCCTGTGATTCCATATTATCCACCACGTTACTCAGACACTTTGGGGACAGGGACTCTCCAGCACGTGTACAATTACGAGGTGTGCAGGACGACTGACTCCAGAAAGAGTGACTGTAAGTTCGGCAGAGCTGGTAGTCAGAACGTGCTGATAATGGACCCCAGTTCTACAGGAACGATGCAGCGGATACAGAATGAAAAGAGCATCCTGGATGAACCAGACTCTCCTCTAGAGGTTAGACTCACTGTTCTTTTGCTCAAACCTAAATGTATTTATTCAGTGATGTCATTTACAGCACATACATTTTCAGTACCTTGGACAGCGAAAGAACTGTCTCTCTTTTTTTATCCTCTCTTTATATTTTATTTTTTTGATTTTTCCTTCATTCACTTTAGATCAAGTATTTCTTTGGAAAAAATATCGTGCTATTTAGCATCACTTTGCCCGCACAATAAAACAGAAACAGTAGTCTGTGTTGGTTGGTAGTTTATTCAGTGACAATACAGGAAACAACAGAGGCAACTGTATTTTTCTCTTTAACTCATGTAGTTTCATGTTGTGAACTCAGTGGGCCGCTGTTGACCAGCGTCTTGACGTTTTATGATACATTTGTACTAGAACACCCCCCTGTCTTTTCACAAGCGAGAAGGACTCCGAAACATAAACGCACAGTCGCCGGTGGATGCAACACAATGCATGGAATATCAAGCTGGAATCATTTTACCGTCAGTTGTTGATTGATTAAACTTACACTTTGGGGATTTTATTTGCACCAGTACCGCTGATATCAAAAGAGATGCGTAAACGTTAGTTTGTTTTTCGAAGGAAATGTCTGACAGAACAATGAGACGGCAAGTACTGTTGTTTTTCTCGGTCCTCTGTCTCAGTTCAGCTTTTGGCCAGGTCAGCTACTCTATTCCCGAGGAAATCGCCAAAGGCTCCTTGGTCGGTAACATAGCTCATGATTTAGGTCTGGAAGTTAAACGGCTTCAAGCGCGTAGAGCTCGTATTCACACGGGAGACAGCGCCGAATACATACAGCTTAACAAGGAAAAAGGACTCCTCATTATCAAAGAGAGGATAGACCGCGAAGCTCTCTGTGGCCAGACAACGCCTTGCGCGTTGCATTTCCAGATTGCCTTAGAAAGCCCGATTGAAATATTCCCGATTACTGTTGAAATCACAGATATCAATGACAACGCTCCTACATTCCAAAAGGAAGAGAAAAACATTGAAATCAGCGAGTCTGCGGTCATCGGCTCTAAATTCATGCTAGATAAAGCTATAGATCCTGATATTGGGCTGAATGGTCTTCAGAGCTATACACTAAAGCCCAATGATAATTTTATAACTAAATTACATAGTCAATCTGATGATTTTAAAAAGGTAGAGATGATTTTACAAAAACCTCTGGATAGAGAGAAACAGGAGTTTACATCATTACTGTTGACGGTTGTAGATGGAGGAGAGCCGCAAAGGTCTGGCACTATGCAGATCCATATTACTGTGCTGGACGCTAATGACAACGCTCCTGTTTTTACGCAAACTGTATACAAAGCAAGTGTGAAAGAAAATTCTCTTAGGGGAACAATCATTACCAAAGTGAGTGCCTCCGATGCAGACAAAGGGTCGAATGGAGAAGTTGGCTACACGATCAGTAATAGCATGATGGGCACTTCAAATTTGTTTCACATCACTGACGATGGTCATCTTATATTAGAGGGGCCTATTGATTTTGAAAAAGCCAAGAATTATGAAATTGATGTAGAGGCAGTTGACCGAGGAGGTCTGTCTGATTCAAGCAAAGTAATAATTGATGTAGGTGACATTAATGACAATAGCCCCGTTATAAATATGATTTCATCATCCAATTCAGTTGGAGAAGATTCCCCTTCCAACACAGTGGTAGCTGTGATGAGTGTAAATGATGCTGATTCTGAAGAAAATGGGAAGGTCAGGTGTGTGATTAACAAAAATATACCATTTACAATTAGATCCACATCCAGTAATTTCTATAGCCTTGTGACAGACAGTGAATTAGACAGAGAGAGAGCCTCTGAGTATAATATAACAGTGACCTGCTCTGATGAGGGAGTGCCCTCTCTCTCGAGAAGCGTCACTCTCGCCTTACAGATCTCTGATGTGAATGACAACGCGCCAGTCTTTGAGAGGAGCTCATATGAGGACTACATTGTAGAAAACAACACACCAGGCCTCTCTATATTCACAGTGAAAGCCAGAGACGCTGACTGGAACCAGAATGCCCGTATTTCTTACATACTAGAGGACTCCTCTGTTAACGGAGTGTCAGTCGCCTCATATGTGTCCGTTAGTGCTGATAGTGGAGTCATCCATGCAGTGCGCTCTTTTGACTACGAGCAAATCAAAGATTTCCACTTCCTCGTTAAAGCGCAGGATGGAGGCTCTCCTCCACTCAGTAGCAATGTGACTGTGAAAATACTGATCCAGGACCAGAACGACAACCCCCCTCAGGTCCTGTACCCAGTCCAGACTGGTGGCTCTCTGGTGGCTGAAATGGTGCCTCGTTCAGCAGATGTGGGCTATCTGGTGACTAAAGTGGTGGCTGTTGATGTGGACTCTGGACAGAATGCCTGGCTCTCCTATAAACTGCAGAAAGCCACAGACAGGGCGCTGTTTGAAGTGGGCTTACAGAATGGAGAAATAAGAACTATCCGCCAAGTCACTGATAAAGATGCAGTGAAACAAAGACTGACTGTTATAGTGGAGGACAACGGGCAGCCCTCTCGTTCAGCTACAGTCATTGTTAACGTGGCGGTGGCGGACAGCTTCCCTGAAGTGCTGTCGGAGTTCACTGACTTTACACACGACAAGGAGTACAATGACAACCTGACTTTTTACTTAGTGTTGGCTCTGGCTGTAGTTTCCTTCCTCTTCATCACGTGTTTAGTGGTTATTATATCAGTGAAAATCTACAGATGGAGACAATCTCGCATCCTGTATCACTCCAATCTCCCTGTGATTCCATATTATCCACCACGTTACTCAGACACTTTGGGAACAGGGACTCTCCAACACGTGTACAATTACGAGGTGTGCAGGACGACTGACTCCAGAAAGAGTGACTGTAAGTTCGGCAGAGCTGATAGTCAGAACGTGCTGATAATGGACCCCAGTTCTACAGGGACGATGCAGCGGATACAGAATGAAAAGAGCATCCTGGATGAACCAGACTCTCCTCTAGAGGTTGGTTATTTGGGGTTCATTCGAGCTGTGAATTGTTTGTGACATATAAAGTATGAAGGTATACATCGTTTCCGTTAATAACAAATATGCAATCAGCACCATGGACAGAGACAGTGCTTGCGACTTAAAGCAGGCTGTTCCCTAGAGATTAAATCTTAATAGATATTACGCTAATTGCCACTTTTAAAAAGCCCTTTTTATGTCAACTCTTGACCTGATACTTAAAAATGTAAGTCGTTTTTATTCACTCTAGTTTCAACAAAAAACTGTACATGAGCTTTTGTAATTTTAACTTGCATCCTCTCAAAAGCACCCTCACCCGTCTTCTTCTTCTCTATCTAAACTTATTGTCTGTTTTCTTTATCTTATCAAAATCTTTTTTCCACACGTTTTAACACTATCTCACAAATACTCGTTATATGATTATTAGTATTTCTCGTGTAATTTTGACTTTGAACTCAGAGGGACGCTGTTGACTAGTATGTATCAGTTTTACAGCATATATGTAGTGGTACCTCCCATCAGCTCCGTATATTTGAGCTAGAGGCGAGACGGGGAGATACAACGAAGCACACAAGGGGGATCTAACAAAAATGAAACACGGGAGTTATTGAACGGCTATTTCTTCCTTCTCTTAAGGGATTCTATGACTATGTATTGACAGTGGACTCATGACAAACAATTATAACAGATGACTGAAAGGTTTATGCAAGGACTTTCTGCAAAGACGATGTCGGACATAACAATGAAACGGCAAGTACTGTTGTTTATCTCGGTCATCTCCTTCTGCTCGGTGGTCGGACAGGTCAGCTACTCCATTCCCGAGGAAATGTCTAAAGGCTCTTTCGTTGGCAACATAGCTCAAGACTTAGGTTTAGATGTCAAAAGGTTGAATTCTGGAAAGGCTCGTGTTTTCACACGGGATAGTGCAGAATATATCGAGCTGAACCGAGAAAGAGGAGTCCTCCTTATCAAAGAAAGAATAGACAGAGAGGCACTTTGCGGACAAACGACGCCCTGCGCTTTGCATTGTCAGATCATATTAGAGAATCCGATGGAATTCTACAGTATTAATATCGAGATCACTGATATAAATGATAACCCCCCAACGTTTGTAACAAGCGACATCCACTTCAATATTAGCGAGTCTACGCTTAGTGGTACAACATTTATTTTAGACAGGGCTATTGATCTAGATGTTGGCGGAAACGGTTTAAAAACCTACATTTTGAAGCCATCGGGCGAATTCTCTCTCAAAATGAACAGTCAAATTGATACGAGTAAGAATGTGGAGATGGTTCTACATACACCGCTGGACAGGGAGAAAAATGATCAGTTGTCTTTAGTTCTCATGGCGGCGGATGAAGGCGAACCGCAGATGACAGGAACAATGCAGATTCACATCACCGTTTTAGATGCTAATGACAATGCTCCTGTTTTTACACAGTCTGTTTATAAAGCCTCTATAAAAGAAGATGCACCTGTAGGAACAGTTGTACTGACAGTTACTGCAACAGATGCAGATCGTGGCTCAAATGGTAGAATAACATATTCAATTTCAAGTACTCTAGATCATGCCAGTGGAATCTTTGAAATAAATAAGGAAAGTGGCGATATTAAGTTAGCTGGAAAACTTGACTATGAAAAGTCGGGAAATGTTCAAATAAACATTCGTGCAAGTGACGGTGGTGGACTAACTGGTTCTTGTAAGGTGATAGTAGATATATTAGATATAAATGATAATAAGCCTGATATTCATATTATGTCTAAATCAAATGTGATCTCAGAGGATGCTGAACGTAACACTGTAGTAACAATGATAAATGTTGAGGATGAAGACTCTGGTGAAAACGGTAAAGTGCATTGCTCAATCACTGATAATATATATTTCATATTGAAGTCCACATCAAACAGTTTTTATAATCTCCTAACGGATGACGAGTTAGACAGAGAGAGAGCCTCTGAGTATAATATAACAGTGACCTGCTCTGATGAGGGAGTCCCCTCCCTCTCCAGCAGCGTCACTCTCACCTTACAGATCTCTGATGTGAATGACAACGCACCTGTCTTTGAGAGGAGCTCATATGAGGCCTACATTGTAGAAAACAACACACCAGGCCTCTCTATATTCACCGTGAAAGCCAGAGACGCTGACTGGAACCAGAATGCCCGTGTTTCTTACATACTGGAGGACTCCTCTGTTAACGGAGTGCCAGTCTCCTCATATGTGTCCGTTAGTGCTGATAGTGGAGTCATCCATGCAGTGCGCTCTTTTGACTACGAGCAGATCAAAGATTTCCACTTCCGCGTCAAAGCGCAGGATGGAGGCTCTCCTCCTCTCAGTAGCAATGTGACTGTGAAAATACTGATCCAGGACCAGAACGACAACCCTCCTCAGGTTCTGTACCCAGTCCAGACTGGTGGCTCTCTGGTGGCTGAAATGGTGCCTCGTTCAGCAGATGTGGGCTATCTGGTGACTAAAGTGGTGGCTGTTGATGTGGACTCTGGACAGAATGCCTGGCTCTCCTATAAACTGCAGAAAGCCACAGACAGGGCACTGTTTGAAGTGGGCTTACAGAATGGAGAAATAAGAACTATCCGCCAAGTCACTGATAAAGATGCAGTGAAACAAAGACTGACTGTTACAGTGGAGGACAACGGGCAGCCCTCTCGTTCAGCTACAGTCATTGTTAACGTGGCGGTGGCGGACAGCTTCCCTGAAGTGCTGTCGGAGTTCACTGACTTTACACACGACAAGGAATACAATGACAACCTGACTTTTTACTTAGTGTTGGCTCTGGCTGTAGTTTCCTTCCTCTTCATCACGTGTTTAGTGGTTATTATATCCGTGAAAATCTACAGATGGAGACAGTCTCGCATCCTGTATCACTCCAATCTCCCTGTGATTCCATATTATCCACCACGTTACTCAGACACTTTGGGGACAGGGACTCTCCAGCACGTGTACAACTACGAGGTGTGCAGGACGACTGACTCCAGAAAGAGTGACTGTAAGTTCGGCAGAGCTGGTAGTCAGAACGTGCTGATAATGGACCCCAGTTCTACAGGGACGATGCAGCGGATACAGAATGAAAAGAGCATCCTGGATGAACCAGACTCTCCTCTCGAGGTTAGAATTTGCTAGCCCACTTTTCCTACGGTGAAGTGACGCTTTTAAATCACGCCCCTCTTAATTTCAGCACCCTAGAGAGCGACACGATTCCATGTTCAAAACGAGGCATTTTCTCAAGTTGAATTTGTTTTGTTTTTTAAGGTTGCTGCTATGTTTTTTCAAATTTTAATTTACATCTAACTTGCACATCTCATATTCCTCATATAGATTCTCTTTCATTCGTCGGTTTAATGTAGTATCAAACAACACTGCCAACTCACAGGAGAACTGTTTCTGTTTTTATTCACAATCTAAGCATGTCGATTGTTTTTGCACATTTCAGCTGCAATTTGATTTTATGAACTCAGAGTGCCGCTGTTGGCCAGTTTGTATGAGATTTACCGCAGACTCTTTGTCCCTCCCATAATGTCTTTATTTTAGAGAGAGGAAGAGATAGAACCAAAGTGTACTGTCTGGAATTTACCGGAGATACAGGACGTCGAATCCTTTTCATACCGGGAATATATTTAAAACCTTGTTGTCTTTTCATTTGTGGAAGATAGATGACCAAATGGCTTTGATGGTTTACATTGGGATAACGTCGGACAGAACAATGAGAGGGCAAGTACTGTTGTTTTTGTCGGTCCTGTCTCTCAGCTCGGTGTTCGGACAGGTCAGCTATTCCATTCCGGAGGAAATGCCAAAGGGTTCTTTAGTCGGAAACATGGCAAAGGATTTTGGCTTAGATGTTAAAAGACTTAAATCGGGTAAGGCTCGCATATTTACTCGAGACAGTGGCGAATATATCGAGCTGAATAACGAAAGAGGAGTCCTCCTCATCAGAGACAGGATAGACAGAGAGGCGCTCTGTGGACAAACAACGCCTTGCGCTTTGCATTTTCAGATTATATTAGAGAATCCGATGGAATTTTACAGTGTGACTATTGAAATCACAGATGTTAATGATAACCCTCCATCCTTCGAAAAGAACGACGTCAGATTTAAAATCAGTGAATCCGCTGTTAGTGGGGCTAAATTCATATTAGATCGTGCAGTTGATCCTGATGTAGGTTCAAATGGACTGCAAACATATCGACTTGAACCACGAGACAATTTTATTGTTAAATTACATGATCAAGCAGGTGGAACGAAAAATGTGGAAATGGTTTTAGAGAAACCTCTTGACAGAGAAAAGCATGAACACCTGTCTTTAGTTCTGACGGCGGTAGACGGGGGAGAGCCGCAGATGACAGGAACAATGCAGATTCTGATCACTGTTTTAGACGTGAATGACAATGCTCCTGTTTTTACACAGCCCATTTATAAAGCCTCCATTAAAGAAAATGCACCAGTAGGAACAGTTGTACTGATAGTTACTGCTACAGATGCAGATCATGGATCTAATGGTAAAATAACTTATTCAATTTCAAGTATATTAGATCATGCACGTGGGTTATTTGAAGTGAATGATGGAAGTGGTGAAATTCGGATGAAAGGAAATGTTGACTATGAAAAAGCTCGAACATTTCAGATAAACGTTCGTGCAAGTGATGATGGAGGACTAGTTGACTCCTGCAAAGTGATGATCGACGTCACTGATATGAATGACAATAAACCCGATATTCACATAATGTCTAAATCAAACCTAATATCAGAAGATGCTGAACCCGGTACTGTTGTAACAATGATAAATATTGAGGACGTTGACTCCGGTGAAAACGGCAAAGTGCAATGCAATATAAATGATAATATTCCTTTTGTGATGAAGTCTACAACCAATGATTTCTATAGTTTAATGACAGACAGCGGTTTAGATAGGGAGACAGCCTCTACGTATAATATAACAGTGACCTGCTCTGATGAGGGAGTCCCCTCCCTCTCCAGCAGCGTCACTCTCACCTTACAGATCTCTGATGTGAATGACAACGCGCCTGTTTTTGAGAGGAGCTCATATCAGGCCTACATTGTAGAGAACAACACACCAGGTCTCTCTATATTCACTTTGAAAGCCAGAGACGCTGACTGGAACCAGAATGCCCGTGTTTCTTACATACTGGAGGACTCCTCTGTTAACGGAGTGCCAGTCTCCTCATATGTGTCCGTTAGTGCTGATAGTGGAGTCATCCATGCAGTGCGCTCTTTTGACTACGAGCAGATCAAAGATTTCCACTTCCGCGTCAAAGCGCAGGATGGAGGCTCTCCTCCTCTCAGTAGCAATGTGACGGTGAAAATACTGATCCAGGACCAGAATGACAACCCTCCTCAGGTTCTGTATCCAGTCCAGACTGGTGGCTCTCTGGTGGCTGAAATGGTGCCTCGTTCAGCAGATGTGGGCTATCTGGTGACTAAAGTGGTGGCTGTTGATGTGGACTCTGGACAGAATGCCTGGCTCTCCTATAAACTGCAGAAAGCCACAGACAGGGCGCTGTTTGAAGTGGGCTTACAGAATGGAGAAATAAGAACTATCCGCCAAGTCACTGATAAAGATGCAGTGAAACAAAGACTGACTGTTATAGTGGAGGACAACGGGCAGCCCTCTCGTTCAGCTACAGTCATTGTTAACGTGGCGGTGGCGGACAGCTTCCCTGAAGTGCTGTCGGAGTTCACTGACTTTACACACGACAAGGAGTACAATGACAACCTGACTTTTTACTTAGTATTGGCTCTGGCTGTAGTTTCCTTCCTGTTCATCACGTGTTTAGTGGTTATTATATCAGTGAAAATCTACAGATGGAGGCAGTCTCGCATCCTGTATCACTCCAATCTCCCTGTGATTCCATATTATCCACCACGTTACTCAGACACTTTGGGGACAGGGACTCTCCAGCACGTGTACAACTACGAGGTGTGCAGGACGACTGACTCCAGAAAGAGTGACTGTAAGTTCGGCAGAGCTGGTAGTCATAACATGCTGATAATGGACCCCAGTTCTACAGGAACGATGCAGCGGATACAGAATGAAAAGAGCATCCTGGATGAACCAGACTCTCCTCTAGAGGTTAGAATTTATAGTAGAAGCATACTACAACCACTTATAGTGTCCAGGACCATGGACAGAGACACAAAATCATGCTCATCACAGTATCTATCTATCTATCTATCTATCTATCTATCTATCTATCTATCTATAGATAGATAGATAGATAGATATACTTGCATTCTAGCTATCTTTCTAGCTATCTATCAACCTATAATAACATCTCAATATTCTATACTTATTGCTGCAATTTCATTTTACGTCCCCAAGTGCCGCTGTTGGTTAGTGTGAGAAAAATAAGGACCCTTTCCTGTGTGAAGTCCTCCCTCGTCTGTCTGATGCGTTATTAGAGCTCTATTTTTTATCGGAACTATATCCTGACAAAGCAAAGCGCCCAGCGCTGAGCAACGAACTCATGATCACATAGCCTATCTGGTCGGATTTCAACAGGACTGATTCGTTTTTCCATTTGTATTTTACGAAGGCCCTTGTCAGGATGGGCGTTCTTCGTTGCGTGGCCGAAAAAAGGTCATTTTCATGGAGGCCGCTGCTTCTCATGATTTGTGTCGCAGAAATGGCTCTCGGACAGGTCCGTTATTCTATACCTGAGGAAATGGCGCCGGGCTCCCTTGTCGGGAATATCATTCAGGACCTCGGCTTGGACATTAAGCGGCTGAGATCAGGGCGGGCTCGGATATTTACCGAGGACGGCAGTGAGTACATTGGTCTGAATGCAGAAAAAGGAACTTTGGTAGTCGCTAAACGCATAGACAGAGAAGAATTGTGCAAGCAAGTGTCTCCCTGCTCTCTTCATTTCCAAATCATCCTAGAAAATCCAATGGAGTTGCATCGGATTGATGTAGAGGTTACAGATATTAATGATAATGCTCCGTTCTTTTCGAAGAAGGAATACAATTTCCAAGTTAGTGAATCTGCCTTACCAGGGGCTCGCTATTCGCTTGAGAGTGCCAAAGATCCCGATGTAGCACATAACACCATTCAAACATACGAACTCAACCCTACAGATAATTTCAAAGTGAATGTTGTTTCTCGGTCTGATGGAACAAAATATATTGAAATGGTTCTACACACCTCCCTTGACAGAGAAAAACAAGAAGAGCATAGGTTAACCCTGACTTCATTTGACGGTGGTAATCCTCAGAAATCGGGTTCTGTCAAAATAAATGTCGTTGTTTTAGATGCAAATGACAATGCACCAGTATTCAGTCAGACTGTTTATAGAGCAACTGTCCCTGAAAATGCGTCAAAGGGCACTGTTATTATAAGAGTCAGTGCCACTGATAATGATAAGGGAGCAAACGAAGAGTTAATGTATTCGTTCTCCCACCATACCGATGGTGCAGCATCTCTGTTTAATATGGATCCGCATAACGGAGAAATGACCGTAATTGGTGTTTTAGATTACGAAAAAGCCAAAAACTATGAAATAGACATTGAAGCTACAGACAAAGGAGGGTTGGCAGACACGGCAAAGGTGCTAATTGAAGTGACAGACCTAAATGACAATGCCCCTGTCATAAGCATAATTTCCCTCTCTAATCCCATACCAGAGGACTCCCCTCCTGATACAGTTATAGCTATGCTCAATATCAAAGACTTGGACTCAGGTAAAAATGGCCAAGTTAAGTGTTTTATTAGCCTAGATTTACCTTTCAAAATCAAGTCATCATCGATTAATTTCTATAGCCTGATGTCTGACGATGTATTAGACCGGGAAACAGTGCCTGAATATAACATAACAATAACAGCAGTGGATGAGGGTTCCCCACCTTATTCAACAAACAAAACAATATATTTAAGGATATCAGACGTAAACGACCACGCCCCAATGTTCCCACAACAATTTCTGAATGCTTTCATCACTGAAAACAATTCACCTGGCATGTCACTCCTCTCTGTCAAAGCCAATGACAAAGACTCTGGGAACAATGCGCGCATTTCCTATTTTCTTGAGGATAGCCAACTGAATGGGATGTCAGCCTCGGCTTATTTTTCTGTGAATGCAGAGAGTGGAGAAATACTTGCTGTGCGGTCCTTTGACTATGAGCAGACGAAAGAGTTCCATATTCGCGTCATCTCAAGTAGCAATGTGATGTGCAAAATTACTGATCCGGACCAGAACGACAACCCCACAGGTTCTGTACGCCAGTCCGACTGTTGGCTCTCTGGTGGCTGAATGGTGCCTCGTTCAGCACGATGTGGGCTTATCTGGTGACTAAAGTGTGGCTTGTTGATGTGGACTCTGACAGAATGCCTGGCTTCTCCTATAAACTGCAAGAAAGCCACAGACAGGGGCGGCATGTTTGAAGTGGCTTACAGAAGGAGAAATAAGAACTATCCGCCAATCACTGATAAGATGCAGTGAAACAAAGACTGACTGTTATAGTGGAGGACAACGTGGACAGCCCTCTCGTTCAGCTTACAGTCATTGTTAACGTGGCTCTGGGGCGAGACAGCTTCCCTGAAGTGCTGTCGGAGTTCCTGACTTTACACTGACAAGAGTACAATGAAACCGTGACTTTTTACTTTAGTTTAGTGGCTCTGGCTGTAGTTTTCCTTCTTTCATCACGTGTTTTAGTGGTTATTATCGTCAGTGAAATCCACAGATATATTATATCAGTGAAAATCCACAGATGGAGACGCGAGCGCTTGTTTTACAAATCCACTGGGAATCTTCCTGTTATTCCGTATTACCCGCCCCTTTACGCAGACGTAGGAGGAACCGGTACGTTGAAGCAGGCGTTCAGTTACGAGGTGTACGGAACTACGGACTCCCGGAAGAGTGATATAAAGTGCTCTCAACCCTTCAGTCAGAGCACTCTGAGTGTTGACCATGGTGCTACCAGAACAGTGCCAAGGCATAAAACAGAGTCAGAGAATTTGCTCACGGAGGTGAGATCAGCCTATTCCTTTCTTCCTGAAAACACCTGTACCCATGTTTTTTGTTTGCTTTGTGTGTGTACTTCAGTTCCACTGCTCACTCATCATTTAGACAGTTCTGGTACTGTGCCCATTATAGTTATACTCCAAAAGTCTTCTCAGTTGCACACTATACTTATTGTGCCAAAACTTTTGGCAAGCACCAACACTGGACTTTTTACTCCGCCCCCTTTTGAGCTTTCCCAATTCTTGCATTTCGTTCTGTACAAAATACATCCCAATGCATCCCAATCCATTTCCAATTGCTTGCTGCACACAGTCCAGCATTGTTGTTGACTATTCCATGTACATAGGCCATAACTATGTCTTCCTGTGTGGTTTTATTTTTTATTTTTATGTGAAGTTCACTGTTTAATATACTTGTTACTTATACTTGTTTGCTTTATGACACTACATCATCTTCATGTGTTGTCATATTTTTGCTGCATCACCTTAATTCCATTCTTTGATATTGATATTGATTCGTTTATTACTAGTGCTGGCATTTACATGCAACATATTGTGTTGAAACATGATGGTTTGTGCGGACAGACCAAGTAAAGATATGTTTAGTTGACTATATTTAAATCCCTTTCCGCTTTCACAGACTGAATTAAAATGTACCGTATGCCCTATCAGAGAGCATCATGTGATGACCTGCAGAGGTGTGAGAGAACAATACAAAAGCTACAATGAAAGAAATAGATTCCTGCTCATCCCTGCTAAAGCTTTGCTACAGACTGTGCTCACATAGAAACACAGAACCATGCAGTGTACTACTTTCTCAGTGACCTAGTTTCCTTCACAACACGGTGCAGCCATAGACATAGAGCTGCACACACAGAGAAAAGGAGCAGGGATGGACACAGGGACATGATAACAAAGTTAGTTGGTGCAGATCAGTAAATCAAATGCAAAGAGAGACAATAATATTGATTAAGCGGTTAAAAATATGGTAAAGGGGAAGAGAGAACGGTCAATTACAGATGCTGGTGAGACTGAGAACAAGGGAGAGAAGCAGTGTGATGGAGAGGCAGAGAGGCAGCGGGGGAGGGGAAGAGGCACGTGGTAACCGGCACAGTCTCCACCATCCCTGTGCAGCATTTGTGTTAGTGATGCTCGGCAGCCATTTTGATCTGCAGCCCCTCTTCGTTGAAATATAGGGCTAAGGGAAGTCTCATGTGTGAAACAGTCATATCAGGCTATTACTGACTGTACTGTAAAGGACACAAACAGAGTGAGATATGTCTTGATAGAATATAAATGAATGGAAGACAAGAAGTAACAGGAGAGAGGGAGAGACATCTAGGCTACATATCTTATATAACAAATGAAGAGCGGATGTCAGAAATCAGGACAGAGGCTGAATGTGTTTGAACGGAAGAATATAATCATGAAAGAAAACTGAGCTTCCAAAAGAAATGAAGCTAGAAAGTATTGAAATCTAACAAAGACTGTAAAATAATGATTTTCCTATAGTCTGGTAATAGGAGCAACACAGTAACAGGCTAGAATTGCTTTCTCCTGTAAGAGCCTCCGTCTGTGAGGGCTTACATTATGTGCTGCAAATGAAAGCCATGCACAGAGTAGTTTTCTCCTTTGTTGTGTGGTAAAAGTGACAGTGTGGTCGACTTGGCACAAATAACCCTGTCATTATAATGATGCCTGTGGTGAGGAAATGAACGCATGTGTGCAAAATATCTTTCTTCTTTCAAAGTTGGTGCATGGAAATAACATTTGTCTTTAGTTTAAGGGCACATAAAGCTTCACTTAAACATCTAGCTTGATGTATTAGTGATGACTAAAGGCTTGTTTGATGTGGCTGAGGATAGTCTGTATACAGTTATGTTTGCCAAGTTCAGTTCAGCTTTGGAAGAAGTACTATCAACTAGTATGCCTGGTTTGGTCGCTCTGTGTGGTGCATGTGTCTCAGCAGTAAAGTTCCTGTGATGCTCAGGGCATGTGAAAATAGAAGCTGACAAACTACAAAGCAGAAACTTAGGTTAAGTGTGTTAACCCCTATATCCGCTGGAAGTAGTCTGTGATCGTTATTAGCCCACATCTGTGTCTGCTTTATCCGTTTCAACTGTGTTTGAACCATTATGTCTCATTTTCTTAGTTTTATAGTGGCAAACGTTTTTACTGAGTACCATAAATTCTTTTGACCTCAGCAGCTCCATAGGGGTCAAAGCTCACCGGAACTCTTTGCAACCAGCTACACAGTACGGCCTCTTTCATACGCTGTAACTCTTCAGTGTGTTGTTGTTTTATCTTTCTGTTTAAGAAACCTATGTTGGAGATGTCATCAGCCATCTTGCATCTCATGCAAAGCTCCCATCATCAGTCATCATCATTAAACCTGTTACTGACCACAAAACTGTAATCACATGCGGAAGCTCCCGGTTCCCACAGGCCTGAGCTCTTGTTTAAGTGTTCTGCGTTCATAGCCATGCTGTCTGGTGAGCAGCTGTGTGCTCATGTGTGTGCTGTGGGGCCCATCAACTTACTGTGCACAATGTGTGTGTGTGTGTGTGGGGATGTTAATTTCTAAACCCTCATTGCAGTTTTGTTGATACTCCAGATATCTGAGATATCAGGGGCCTTAGGGTGTGACTTCATTCCCACAGAGGAGATGTACAACACTTTAATACACTGAGCATGATATTAACAGAGTAAAATGATATGTAGATGCCTGAACTCAAATTTGGGTTCAGTTGTTCTGAAGTTGTCCATCAAACTATTTGTATCCTGTCCTACTCTGAGAGCACAGATCTCTATCAGTGGAGGGGCTGAAGCGCAAGAGACTCCTTTCAAATATGTATATAGCTTCAGTGCATCATACTCTCTCTAACAGATGACTGCTGGGGCCTGTCCCTCTGGGACTGTTGTTCTGCTGCTTCATACAAAGAGGTGCTTTTAAACGCACACAGGATAGAGCCAAGCAGTTAGAAAACATCCTTAAACTTAAGCTTCAAGCTCCTCTTCAGCAATCATCCATCCTGCTTAAGTTTCAAGAACTATTCCATAGCCAACCATGATTGTTTTTTTAGATTATGGAAGGGGAAAAGTAAAAAGTATGTTAGAAGGAAATTAATACATCTTTACAGCCATTATTAGTAAAGTACATATTTTTCATGTAACAGCTGCTGATGTATTGCTTGGTAAAACACGTAGCAATGGCAGATTTATTGTTTAATATAGTGCTAAAGTAACAACTATTGTAAATAGGTATAGATAGGTAGCTGGTGAGGAGGGTTTGGCTGTCACTGTTGAATGTCAATCAAGACAAGGGAATCAGGTATTCTTTTCAAGATATTTATTCAGGATCTAGTTATAGTTGTAGCAGGTTTAAGGATTTGCGCTGTGAGTCTATGTGTGTGTGTGTGTGTGTGTGTGTGCGGGGGGGGTCTGGTCATTCAGACACACACCAGGAAAGAATAACAGGAGGTACATCCCCACACTGGAACTCTATTTCTAAACTACAAACTTAGTTATGTAACTAAATCTTGGAGCCCACACAACAGGAGTTATCTTGCCAACTGCTGAGAAGGTTTGCTTTTCATACTGGTAGGGGTGGTGGCTAATTACTAGCTAACACAAACTCATCCCTTTGAGAGTGAAGCAATATGACTTATATTAATGTGGGGTTATTAGCTGATCACTCTTTTTGTGCAACTATAGAACTATACTTCCACTAGTTTACTATAGTACTTTGCTATCTGTATCTTTGTTTGCACAATGTCAGATAAACTAGACATTTGTTTAAGAACATGCAAAAGATATTGTCTTTCAATGTGTGTTGGTGCCCCAGAGGTGGAAGTGTGAAGGTCTGTACTGGCTGATAGGATTACACAAGGGATTACCTAGAACAGTGTAATATGGGGCAATGGCCAAGTTGTGTCAAGATTACAAAGACTGAGAAACAACATATCCACATAGGGTTTACTCAAATATATTCCAAAATTCCTCTAATTTTGATGTTCGTGTAGGGCATGTTTGTATGTGTGTTTTTGACTCTCAGAAGCTATCAAACCATATCCAGTTCCCACCCTTAATACTTTTAATGTGATTTAGAAGAAACACTCAGTCTTGCCTTGTAGCCAAATAAAGATGAAGTGCATTATAATTCCTATATTATAGTGTAGTTACAATATAATACATACATGTAATTATCAACGATTATATTAAGTTTGTCTTATATTGCATCCTAATTGAGTGATTACAGTATTTCTATAAATATTTGTTTTGATAAGATATTTATATTTTTATTTACTCAAATTGTGGCTAAAACCGGAAGGTCACTGATCAGCAGTCGTTCATGGTTTCTAGCAGCCTTCCCTTTTCCTCCTGATCTCATTTTCTGCATCCCTCCCCTCCCCCTCTCCAGCTGCACCACTCTGCTGCAGAGAGAGAAAGACAGAGAGAAAAGGAGAGGGAGATTGCTCA